TGGCTCTAGCCATAAAGTGTTATGATAACATATTACTTAAATATGAACACACGTGGATCTACATGGACTATTTACAATTTCTCGGGCTCCCTTCTGGAACTTTACCTGCATGGATAAGGACCACGTGTGTTTTGTCTTCTTAACAGTGCGTGGCACAAGGTAGGCATACAGTAAGTATTTGTTGAGTGACTGAATAAGCCAAGAATCGATGTGCACTCCCCACCTAGTTCCCACCTCACTCCCGCTGAACTTCATGCAACACCCCTGCTCTTCATCTCCCGGGAGAGCCAATGTTTCCCCTCCTTCTCAGGTACACACACCTGAGCACCACAAACAGAATGGCGAGGGACAGGCCAGTAGCGCCATCTTTATTTCTGTAAAACCTGCCATTCTACTCGAGGTCACTGGTCTTTACAGAGCATGCCTCTTCATCATGGTTCACTAACTACAACCAGAGCCCGACAACTCGCTGCACCATGGGAAACAGCGGGCAGAATCTGATGGAAACATTGCTCTGGGCTCACTTAGTCTTGCTCAGGGCCATGCATGCCAACCCTGGCCTCCGCTGCTCTGACCAGAAGCAGGTTGGTGAATGGGCATGAAGTGAGAATGCCAGCCACTTCTCTGCTTTAATTCAAGTACTAGGCACACATCAGCTCCATAGCTAAACACCAATCCACTGAGCTGGCTTCATGCTCAACCACAACCCGGGGTAAAGTCAGGACACAGAGCTACTGCCACAAGTTTCAGACTAAGTCCAACAAAAGAGAGCTTGGACAAGTTTAGTATATTGGATTAAGCCCATAAACGACGGAAGCCTTGCAGAGCTTATTATAGCAAGGGAGCAACATGCCCTACTATAAGGTTTGTAGTTATCCTGATACACGTCAGCACGAGATTCCTAATGACACATAGTGTTACTTACAAAACGGCCTTGCTTATGGTTCAGAAAGAGAGCAGACGTAAGTGGGATGCTTTAAAAAGCACTATACATTTTCTAAAAATATATGTTTTTAAAAGAATTATTCACCAAGTCACAGCTGACCAGATTGGAGCTTCCATTAGAATGATTACATAACTCTGGCACTGGAGAAATCAATATTTAAAAAGGTAACAAATTAAGAAAAATAATTCATACGGGAGACAAAATAAATGTGAATTTATTTATATTTGGTCCGTTCTTCGGGAACCCTGGCTTTGCCTGGAGGGCGCTGGAAGCGACTGGCTGTTTTTCCCCTGAACGCGGCACAGCGCACGCGATCAGTGGTTCCGACTTGGAAGCGTTTTCCGTGAAAGCAGCCTTCCTGGGCCGTGATAGAATGACCGCAGCAGCAGCTGCATCTTTCTGCAGTTTCACAATGGCCCTGATGCGCTAACACTCTCTGCCGTCGCTGGTGAGCACCGCAGTCTCCCCAGAGGGAGGTCTGCCTGCGCGAGTCTTCTCTGAAACATCACAAGCCACCACATCACGGATCTCCTCTCCGTCCTTCAGAGCTGACGCACCGTTGGGATGTTTTTCTCTCTTCCCCAACCCCAGATCTCGTCCAATCCCTCCAGCCCACTTGCTCAAACCCCACCGTCTCTACCATCTTTCTTCCAGCCACATCTGGCATGGGCTGTTTTGTCTGTTTAGCAAAAGGCAATGTGAATCATCTTCTACTTCTGGTCAGTTTATCTCTCAGAAAATCAGACATCCAATTCTGATGAACCTGGTTGCCGTCCTCAGCTTGGCCCCTCTGTAACACTAGCAAGGAGATTGGACACATCTTGTTGAACTATTTTTTAAGAGTACTATCTTAGGCCCCGAAGAGAACCTTTACAATTTACTTCTTAGGACTATAGCTTGCTTTGAAAACCTAGATTCTCAAAGAGAGAGAGGTCAAAATGGTGATGAAAGGGAAATTTTCAGTTTACTTTTTAAAACATCTGGATATGTATTATACCTCAACTTATCAGAAAATAATAGGTAATAAAATGGTTATGATAATAATCAGTACCATGGCACTGATAGCATACTAGGTAAGTCAAAAAGGTACTATAACAAAATAACACAAGCGTTTATAAAAGTATTAAAATGTGAAGCTATTCCTTCTCCCTATCCTTAATCAAGGTCTAAACTCTTCTAAAAGGTGAGATTTCCTTCTCTCTCACCATTCCCTGAAGATTTGGACACTTTTCCATGTACCCCGTGTCGAAATACCAGTTTTAGTATCCTTAGGGGATTCAACTTATGTTTCTTTTCCATGTTATTTGAGCTTGGAGCACAAAACCAAGTCTGAAGGGGCAAGCTCGGGCCTGCGCGGAGGATGGGGAATGGTTTCCCAAGGAAATCCTTGTAGGATGGCTCATGCTACCCTCGAAGAATAAACAGGTGCTTCGTCTTGACCACTTCTCACTGCAACTTTTTCTGGCGTTTTCTCGCCAATGTAGTTTTTAAGTTTCTTGAAACCTCTTCATATTTGGGCTCCATGATCTTCCTCTGTCCTTTGAGAAAACTCGATCAAAATTACCTTTGGGGATCCCATACACTGGCTGTTATAAACTTCTGAGTTGACCTCAATGTAACGGGATCAGAAGATCCCATCGAAAGCCACCGTTTTGACTGGCTTTTGTGTTGTTGTTGAAGGCACTGAAACTGATCGCAGAAACAAGCTTACACGGGTTTTCTTGGGATAAACCTGTGCATGTTGGTTAGTTGATGTATGAAGTAGAACTCTAGAGCAGTACTTTGGACTTACCCTCACATAAAGGTTATAAATAGGAAACCACCTGTGCTATTTTAACGTCTTACAACTTACTTAGATTTTGTGGAGATAATAAATAAGAGTATATGTCTCTGAGCTAAGGTTATAAGAGTTAAACAGTCTCTTATTTTTGTATAAACAGAATAATTGATGCACAGCACAATCAAATCAAACAGGGCTTCAGGTTACACCAAGGAGGTCTTCCATTTTTTCCGTGAGGCCTCTTCCTTGAGGCCTTCATGCATATGAAATGGTCATCCCTGCACATGTCAGTCCATTAATTTTGCGCCAGTAGTCAGGTGGTCTGCAAGTATTGTCACTGTGACAGCCTTGGGTTATCATTTGTAAACTGCAAGAATCCCCGAGCTTTCAGGGATGCGTCACCTGGAAGCATACATACATGTTCTAGAGCCCTGCACCGTGAATATCTCCGAATGCCTTAGAATCTTTGCCTGTTTAAACAGACAGTGACCTCCTCCCTGCTTCGTACAATTCCTACATGATTTTTATTGTCCATCTTACCTTCACATGTGGGGCCACCTGCAGAGATGGAGAAGCCCTGTTCGCAGACACAATGAAAAGAGCCAGCTGTGTTTAGACACTCCCCATGAGGACCACAGAGCCCTGGTTGTTCACATTCATTTATATCTGGAATTTAAAAGAAAGTTATACTTAAAAAAAAATCTGTTTTGTTTTTATAAGATGTCACACAGTCATTGTTACTGTGAATGGCCCTCAGGCAGGCTGCAACGCATGGCGACTTTATCAGCATCAGGATGAACTATGGTCTGGTCTCGACCACAGGAGAGAACTCAGGATTACCTTAATAGAACAGCTTCTGAGTAAAACACTTTTTCATCTAGAAAGAGCCGTAGCCCCATCTGTCCTCTGCCCATCCCCAGGTGCATACCTGTCGCAACCTTGGCATTCTGAGTTATCCATGACATGTCTCTAAGAGGTGAGCTTTTTTTTTTTTTTTAA